TATATATATATATAAATAAAAGAGTAGGTAAAAAAAAAAAAAGAAAAAGGTTAGGCTTCAGCCCAGACCTTTTTTTGATTAATATGTAAAATTATATACAGTTATTATGAAATTGTGTATGAGGACTGAAATAAATTCTTGATGACGACGAAGAATTGAAATTTCAGGCAGTTCTTGGCGTTTTTGTGTGCAGTATGATTCAGATGATCTGTAGTTATTTGTTCTATGGTTGAGACAGTATCATGCTTGTCATCTCACAAAATAAACTTTAGATTTAGTGAGATTTACTGTCTCTGTGCTGTTTCCCACTTCTGTACCCCAGTTTACCACTTTTTATCATCATGCTGCTGTTGCGTCATCCACCTCTTTATTTCCTTTTTTAATTGATTTTCCTGTTTGCTGCTTGTTTCTAAGGGAGGAAAAACAACTGGCCGCCCCTTCCAGAGAAGTTTCCGGTGGGTCCGTGTTTCTATCATGACATATCAGTGGACATCCCTGTGGAGTACCAGAAAACCGTCAAGATCATGTACTATCTCTGGATGTGTGAGTGACTCTTGAGAAATCCCATAATGCCAGTCACACCAGAGGTCGTTTACATATGCAGTAGGAGTCTTAAAGATACAGTAACAAAAAACAGCTATACTGTAGGTCAGACAAAAGGTGGAAAATGTTCATACTAAATGCTAAATTAGAAACCTTGAAATACTAAATTAGAAACCTTGACTAACATTGTAAATTATCTTTTTTGGAAAGAAATGCTGTAAAACTGTAGCGTAAGATATATTTTCATCTTCCAGGTTAGTTTGAACCCGAAAAAGTATTTTAAAAAAAAAAGAAAAAACTAAAAAAACCTGTCTTAAACTTATATTGACCTTAGTTTAAAAGTATTAAGTTTTTAATGTTACCATATCATTACCATATTATTGTTGCATTTAGCCCTTTTTTATTAATTAAAAAAATTGAGAAATTCTTTGAAATTAGTTTTTCACACCTGGATTTGGGGATCCTCTGCCATTCCTCCTTGCAGATCCTCTCCAGTTCTGTCAGGTTGGGTGGTAAACGTTGGTGGACAGCCATTTTTAGGTCTCACCAGAGATGCTCAATTGGGTTTAAGTCAGGGCTCTGGCTGGGCCATTCAAGAACAGTCACAGAGTTGTTGTGAAGCCACTCCTTCGTTATTTTAGCTGTGTGCTTAGGGTCATTGTCTTGGTGGAAGGTAAACCTTCGGCCCAGTAATACTGATTAGAAATATTCTTCGAATTGATCATTTTATGAAATTATTATATAAAAATAAGAATACATTAACAGCAAAATAAACAAATTTTACTCGCATAAACTTTCAGATGAAAAAGTGATAAATTTTTCATGCTGCAATCATGTGCAATGGTTAGGTGCACATTCATTCATTCATTCACAAAAATTACAAAGAAATGGTAAGTAATACACTGAATTAAATTTAAAATTTCGACTAAAATAATATATTTATTTAAACCTACTTGAAAAATCTTGATTCACAGCTGTGTCTGTCTGGGAAGCGTGTTTGGTTTTGGTTTGTGTAATAATAGTGTAAAGACTGAGGAAATGAAATGAATAGACTTCAGCAGTGTTTGTGTCTCCCAGAGAAACTGTCGGTCTGTTTGATGCGTTTCGTACTGGATGAGATCAGTCACATGATATTAGATGTGCAGAGCCACCACACGTCATGTGATTAGCATCAGAGTAGTGTTTAAGTTTCGCCTGATCTTGTTTTGTAGGAATTTGGGAGGGAATTGAGCAGCAAGCGAGAGAGACCTGAGACTTTCTTGGCATTTGTGCAGTAAATGTGGTGAAAGAAGCAGAAGAAGAAAGAACTTGCATTGCAGCAACAGTAAATGCAATCCCATATTCGCGAGATATGTTATGCATGGTAAACTATAATACTGTCTAACCTGAGAAATATTGACTATACCACACTTAAAAACAATAAATTAACTCTCTTTTAAATTGATAATATAAACGGAAACTTTAAAAATAAGCTCTCATTTGTTGACATTAATTAACTATCATGAACCAACAATAAGTAATACACTTCTGTTCTGCTCACCAATGCTGCATTTATTTGATCAAAAATACAGTAAAAATGTGTAATAATATTACATTTGAAAATAACTGGTTTCGATTTGAATATGTTTTAAAAATGTAATTTATTTCTGTGATCAATGCTGGATTTTCAGCATCATTCCTCCAGTCTTCAGTGTCACATGATCTTCAGAAATCATTCTAATATGCTGATTTGCTGCTCAAGAAACATTTCTGATTATTATCAATGTTGAAAACAGTTGTGCTGCACAATATTTTTGTGGAAACTGTGATGCATTTTATTTTCCAGGGTTCTTTAATGAATAGATAGTTCAAAAGAACAGCGTTTATTTGAAATAGAAATCTTTGGTAACATTATAAACCGAGGGTTCTCAGCGAGTGATGGGTAATGTGTATGTGAGCACACTCTGGCTCTGCTTTAGCTCATATGAATGATTGAACAGTCTGGCTTTGAGCTCCACTATTAATGGCTTCTGAGTCACTTCTGAATGACTGTGTAGAGGTTTTGCAGTGATACAGTTAATATAACAGACGGTGGATGTTTAGACTGCTTTAAGTATGAACAGGTTCTTGGAAGATACATTCATACAAATTGTAAACTGCTTGGGAAAGTTTTTTATTTTCAATTGTCTTTCATTTTCACTATGAATTTTGTTCAAGTTTCAGTTTAGTTTTTATTTTAGAAATTGTTTAAGGTTGCTATCCAGTTAGCACACTTTGTATTTAGATTTTTTTAATCAATTAATTTGTTAATCTTTTAACATTTTAATCAGTTTTAGTCATAGCTTTCATACATAATCTCAGAGTTCCAACAGGTTTGTGGCAAAAATTGATTAGAGATTCCCGAAATGAAACAAGCTTTACAGTGAATTTTCTTTCCTCATATCATGCTTTGTATCATACACATGTGTGATGTCTCTTCAGTGTCTCTTTTCTCCTGTTCCTCTCTTGCAGTCCACACGGGGACGCTGTTTGCCAATATATTCGGCTGTTTGTCGTGGTTCTGTGTAGATGCGTCGAGGGGAGTGGATTTTGGTCTGGCCATGCTCTGGTTCATGCTCTTCACACCCTGTTCATTTGTCTGCTGGTACAGACCTCTGTATGGAGCGTTCAGGTATACACACTCTCACACACACACTCACACACACTCACACTCACACTCACACACTCACACAGGTTTGTTTTTGTGAAAAGTGGGGACATCCCATAGGCGTAATGGTTTTTCTACTGTACAGACCGTATATTCTATTGCCCTACACCAACCCTACCCCTAAACCTACCCCTCACAGGAGACTTTCTGCTATTTCAGATTTTCAGTACACTCCATTCTGTGTGATTTATAAGCGTTTTGAAAAGTGGGGACATGGGGTAATGTCCTGAAAAGTCACCTTCTCCTTGTAATATCTATGTCATACCTTTGTCATTATACAAATTTATGTCCTCATTTGTCACAAAAACTCACACACACACACACACACACACACATACATTTACACATGTACACGCACATATGCAAACACACCGCGTTCATGGAGAATACAGAATCTGACCGTTTTCTCTCTCTTTTTGAAGGAGTGACAGCTCTTTTAGGTTCTTTGTCTTCTTCTTCATCTATATCTGCCAGTTTGGTGTCCATGTGCTGCAAGCCATCGGCATTGCTGGTTGGGGTGCTAGGTGAGAAAACACACACACACACACACACACATGTGCTCACCAGAATCTGAAATTAACCATGAAAAAAGGGCAAAAACACTGCTGAAAGTGATGCAAATGCCCCAGATATTTAAAATGTTGGACTCATTAAGCATTTCAGTCTATTTTTTTTTTATACTTTCTAACATTTTATATATTTTAAATGGAATTTTTTTTGTAATAGCTTAAAATGTGTGATACAATTTGTTTTTAATCAAAGAAACTTTAAAAACGTTTTATAAATTGTTTATATATAGATATTTATTTATATACTTTTTCTGTTTTTCACTTGTTTCTCACAATGAATATATTAGTTGTGATAGCTGTTGTTTTGATAAAATGTAAGCAAATATATATTCTGTTCTGGATCTGTGTAATGATGCATTTAGTGCTTCTAACACTAGATTTGTAGATTGTTGAATATGTAACTAAAATGAAATGCAAATTTTATTGAAAAGAAAAAAGTAAAATCACTAAATGTGGGGGAGAAACGTTCCCAACAGTTTCAAAACGTGAAAAATGAAAACATAACAATTTACAGTATAAAGCTGTTTAATCAAACATAGTGACCAGATAACTATTAAAAATGGCTTGTTTATGTTTATTGTATTAATGTATTTTATGGCTTATTTACAGCTACATTTGAATCAATTTTTTAGGTCACAGTTATAATTCTTCACATTGATGATTGATGTCATTTAATTTGCTCGGATGGATGACGTGCTGGTTTTTATAAGGGTAAAAAACTAAAACGTTCCCAAAAATGGGAAAAAATGCCCTTGAAAATCAAATCTAGGTGGCAAATAATGACACTTACCCTTTCACTTACCTACATGACTTTACATTGTAACGTTGTGGAGCTGTGTGTTATGAAGAGTGATCAGCTGTTTGTGTTTGTAGTGGCTGGATCTCAGCGCTGACCGGGCTGAACACAAGTATTCCCGTCGGCATCATCATGATCCTGATTGCTGCCCTCTTCACCACATCGGCTGTCATCTCTCTCATCATGTTTAAAAAGGTGCTTCACCTTAAACAATACATAACATATAAATATAATATTGCTTCACCTCTAATGCACTTGCATAGACGTCAGAGCTGGACCAAAACAGTGTGGTTCTTCTAATTCAAAGCTAATACTGTTAAAAGTTGTTTTTGTTAATTGAAATGAAGCTGAAATAAAATATAAATATTACATGAACATGTTTAAACTGAAAAAACAAACAAATAAACAAGAATTAGAAATGTTGCCTTGGCAACAGACTGAAATCAAATAAGTTTAAGTACTAAAATGACTAAAACTGAAAAAAATAAATAAAATAAAGTTACATAGAAATATTAAATGTAGCCCCAAAACTAATCAAACTGACCAAAGCACATAACAAAATTACTAAAAACTTAGACTCAAATTTTTAATGAAAACTGGAAATATAAATATAAAAATAATTCAATGAACTGAAATAAAATAAATTTAAGTTGAAGTACTAAAATGACTTAAACTAAATAATGTAAAAAATTAAATAAACTTAAATAAAAAAATGACAAACACTAAAAAATGACAAGCATGTAACAAATACACTAAAACAAACTAAAATAACAAATATAAATATACATAAATGATACTGAAATAACACTAAGCCATAAACACAGTGAAAATTGCTTTTTCAGTTTTTCAACTAAGTTTTGTGCCTGTATGTAATAAGTTGAAGATCAAAATTATAAGTGAAATAAAAATAAAGCTAAATAAACTGAAAATGTCAAAATAAAAGCTAATTAAAAATGTTAATAAATACTATAATAGTACAATAATAATACTAAAACAACACTGAACCATAAACCCATTGAAAGTCCGTCAAACTCGGGTCTAATCAGGTTGGTAGTTAGTAATCAAGCTTACATGTGTTTATTTGCAGGTTCATGCACTGTACCGAACCACCGGCGCCAGTTTCGAGAAGGCGCAGCAGGAGTTCGCCACCGGCGTCATGGCCAACAAAACGGTGCAGGAGAGACCTAAAAATGGCTGTCCACCAACGTTTACCATCCAACCTGACAGAACTGGAGAGGATCTGCAAGGAGGAATGGCAGAGGATCCCCAAATCCAGGTGTGAAAAACTTGTTGCATCTTTCCCAAAAAGACTCATGGCTGTATTAGATCAAAAGGGTGCTTCTACTAAATACTGAGCAAAGGGTCTGAATACTTAGGACCATGTGATATTTCCGTTTTTCTTTTTTAATAAATCTGCAAAAATGTCAACAATTCTGTGTTTTTCTGTCAATATGGGGTGCTGTGTGTACATTGAGGGAAAAAATTAACTTAAATGATTTTAGCAAATGGCTGCAATATAACAAAGAGTGAAAAATTTAAGGGGGTCTGAATACTTTCCGTACCCACTGTATATATATTAAACATTAGGTAATGTAGTCTGACTTCTTTTAGATTACTTTTGATCACATAGTCTGGAGTGGGATTATTGTGTGTCATATTGATTAAAAAAAAGAACATATTTCATTCTTTGTTGTCATGAAATTTATATATATATATTGTTCACATTAGAGAGGAGCAAAAAAATGGATGTTAATCATATTTTAATGACTTCTGCCCCCTCCAGGACGATTAGAGAACAGTCTAAAAGCTTTACCCAATTATTGTGCAGTATTTATGCGTTAATATGCTGAAACTATTGCAATTGTGATCATAAACACCTGGTTTAATGCTCCAAAATCCTCAGATGTCTTTGAGAGAACTGAAACAATCATCTAATTTTGAATGTTTTATAATTGTTTCTTTTTACTATAATATATAACTGCATTTTATATAGACTTTAAACACTACGAGACAGTGGAGACTAAAATTCAGTTAAAAAATATCAGATTAGGTAAAGCAAGATGAGACCATAAATCATAAAGGTTTCGGTTATAACTTAATAATGACATCGAAAAACTTTAATAGCGATTGACTCGGAAAATACACAGTAATATTTGCAAACAAAATAATTATTATTTATACCCATCGTAACTGACCAATTAGAGACAACTATTGTGCCACGAAACCCCGCCCATTCGCCCAGTCCGCCAGTAGAGGACGATACTGCACCACTATTCAAAATCCCACTCACGAAAACTGCAAAACTGCCTAATTTTACATTTACATTAATTTTACTGAGATTATTTAATTCAGTTGTTTTTTTTACACTCAACCCAAAGTGAGAACAGGCATTTAAAATTGATTGGAAATTAATTTTAATATCTATTAATAATAAAAAATGACTTGCATATGCACAGAAATGATCTGTTATTTATGTGACACCCCCTCCATATCATACCAGGACACAGAAATAAAAACAACAGCAAAAGCAGAAATTTTCCCTCATGTTTTGACTGTAAAATTAGTGTCACCTTTCTTACCTGAGCGGTCACGTGATCGCTGAGGAATGAGCTGCGGTCTTGAAAGAAAGAGGGAAAAAAGACAGCCTCCATCCCAGTGTGTGTGTGTGTGTGTGTGTGTGTGTGTGTGTGTGAGTGTGTGTGTGTGTGTGTGTGTGTGTGTGTGTGTGTGTGTGTGAGTGTGAGTGAGAGTGAGTGAGTGTGTGAGTGAGTGTGTGAGTGTGTGTGTATAATGGTTTGTAGGAGTAAAGCTTCTCCTCGACCGACCAGTTTTTCCAGTCTGACTGAGAAGAACACACAGAGAACAGCTCTTCCACACTGACACGGAGCGAACATGGAACAATAAAACACATAAAACACACATCCCTTCAAGAGGATTCACACAAGACGATCTGAGATCGGTAAGCTATGCTTGACTGTTAAAATACGCTTTTAAGTGGGTTTATGTTCTTGTAAACGGTGTTGTTGTAGGTGTGTCACACCTGAGTTCCTCTACCTGTGCGTGTTTTGATGGAGAAACTTCATGGTGATCCTCATCTGCGTTCGAGAAGATTTATTCCGGTTTTATCTTTAGAACATGCCTTTAAACTCTCAGTAATGTTCTTTAATGACTCTTAGATTTCGTATAGAACGTTTGTCTTATGAAGAAACATTTATGGCTGTTGCTGTGTGGTTCTTTCTTTGGAGGTTGATACTTCATTGTGTTCTTGAGTTTAGCATATGAAGCTTTTAAACAATTCTGAAACCTGTATTTTAGTTTATGAAACCCTCATGTTGCTCTTAGTGAAGTATCAGTTAATATAGTATGTTTCTTATGAGTATGATAACAGATTATAAACAAAATTTCAGTTTTTGCTTAATATTTGTGCACTAAACGTACAGTCCTATAATTTTATTTACTGTGCACTCTGCTTGTTCCATCTTGATTATGCACAAAATTACTTGTCAAACATACTTTAAATATCCCTCATGAAAACAATACTTTTGTTTGAGGTTTCTGAGACCCCAGATGCTTGAATGCTTGAAATGATACCAAATTTATTTCATAATCAGAAACAAATGGTGCACATACAACTGTTACAGTTTGAGCATCTTTTGGAGAGCAACATATGCACGTAATATTAACATCTACTGGTTATAATTAATCAGGGTTTTGTCTTGGAAATGTTCGAATTGTGAAAATTCACTGAAATTAATACAATTTGAATTCCATGCTTCCATAGTGAATATAATGTTTTCTACACTGTAAAAAAAAAAAAAAAAAGTATATATATTCAAGTATTCATTTTACAAGAAAATACTAGGCTTTCTACTTAATTTCATGTTTAATTTATTCAAGGTGTTACTTGCCATTTCTTTGTAATTATTAATTAAATTTAATAGCAATTTTTTCAAGACCATGCATTTTCCAGTGTAGATATGCTCCTTTGTAATGAAATGTAATTTATTTAATAGAACTAGCTTTTTGTAAATGCAATCTCTCTAAAATAATTGATGAAAATGTCAGTCAATTTTCCAGGCATGGAAAATAAATAGAAGCTGAAATAAAATAAAATCTGAATACACTACATGTTTCCATAGTGAATATAAATTTTGTTTTCTACACTGTAAAAAATGATTTTTCGAAGATCCGATTTAATACTATGGCGGTATTTCTGCTTCGAAATTTCATGTTGAATTTAATGTGCTACTTGCCATTTCTTTGTAAAATGAAAAGTCATTCCTAAAGTTTGTAAAAGTCTGATGGGTAAATTCAGAGGAAGTTTCGGTTTGAATCTATAGTATGTTGGGCCATTGAGAAGCAGTTCTGGTTACGTCTGAGCCAGTCATATGTAAACAGAAGCAGACTGTGAGTTATTCGTCCTGTCTGAATGAATGAATGAATGAATGAATGGTGGGTGTGAACGTCACCGGTGGGTTTCTTCTCCCCTGTGAGAATGTCTGGACGTGTTTGGACTCGATTGCTGTTGTTTTTCTTCTGAAATGCATATTGTTCTGCTGTATGTGGGTTAAATTGAACCGCCTCTGTTCTGAAAAGAGCCGTATTACTCACAGAACTGGTTTCTTCTGTGTCCAGAAGGGCCGCAAACATTGTGAAATGGAGTGGGTGCAGTTTCTATTGCTTTCTCTTTGAACTACAATTTCGATCTGAACATTTGCTACAGGTTAGTTTTGGAGGTGTAGCAGATAAACACATGACAGATATGTCATTTACGTTTACATTTATGCATTTGGCAGATGCTTTTACGCAAAGCCATTTACGTTCAAGGTGTACATTTAATCATTTCATGCATTTGCTGGGAATCGAACCCCGTGACTTTGGTGTTGCCAGTGCCATGAGCTACTGTTTAAGCCACAGAAATGTTCATTTTATACATCAGAATGGTTAATATATTGATAGACGACCAGTATTTTTATGGCTGATAACCAGTATGATGCTAACGTTTTTACAGTATGTGTAAAAAACACCAAATGCTTAATTTTTTAATGGTATTATATTACTGTATATAACATAGAAGTGTTAATTTAGATTGTAATTAAGATAATTGAATTAGTTATTTTAGTAATTACAGTCATTAGCTAACCACTTACACTGAATTAGTTTTTATATGTAGATTTCTCATTTTCATTTTAAATTTTATTTAGAATTTTTATTTCAGTTTTAGTTTCTATTACATTATAGTTTCTATTATAACATTTATATTATAATAATATAATAAAAATATAATTGTGATTTTTATATATTTCAAGTAAATCTAGAATCAGAACTATTTGGCAGAAAAGATGCATAACTCTTAGCAATGTTATTTTAGTATCATATAATATTATTATAATTTCTTTATAATAAAATTTTAGTAAGCTTTTATATTAATATTTCTCGTTTTCATTTCAGTTTTACTTAGTTTGTTGTGTGATTGTCATTTTTCATTATTTTTTAAATATGTCTGTATAGTATTTTTTTTGTTTGTTTTATTTTATATTATACTGTTTATATTATTTCAACTAACAAAACCTTTTTTTAAGTTTGGTTTTTGTGTTAGTCAACAATAATAACCCTGCACCATAGAACTTTAAAGGGGTCATATGATGCTATTTCAATTTTTCCTTTCTCTTTGGAGTGTTACAAGCTGTTCATGCATAGATAAGATCCCTGAAGTTGCAAAGACTAAAGTCTCAAAACCAAAGAGATATTCTTTATCAAAGTTAAGAGTCAGCCACGCCCCCCTAAAACGGCTCGTTCTAACACGCCCCCACATATCTACCTCACTGTGTGGGAAGATTTGCATAACGCCACCCAAATGTTCACGCAAAGAAAGAAGGCGTAACTTTTATTCTCGCTGTAGTATTGTTGTTGCCGCTGCCGTCATGTCGTGAAGACGCTGTGTGTTTCGTTGTGAAAGCGAAACTACTTTGTTTGGTCTTCCAAAAGAGGACACGACTAGAAATCAGTGGTTAAGTTGTATTTACAACACTGTTCCAGAACAGTTCAACCCAAATATCCAGATGATTATAATGGACTGTTTTTCCCAGCAGAAGCTTTAAACAAATCTATCTGTAAGATGATAAACTCAGATCAGTATGTTTTGTACATTTATATATTTATTTATACAGTAGTTGTTCAATAACATATAGTCATTGTTGTAAAAAAAATCCTTCAGGGTGATACAAGACTCCCCCCGCATCGTGTCAGATCAGGGTTTATTTTGTGACAGTAGTGTCTCTTAGATCCAGACCAGTTAAATGACATCATCAGGTGTGATTCTTGAATTCCCTGTAGTTCATTTGTAGGTTAAATGTGCATCATATAAACCACATCAGACGTAGTTTAGCTAGTTGTGAGTTAAACATCAAGTGCATGGTTAATGCATGGGTTATCCGTCCCGGAAGACCCCCACACATCTCCAACATCTCCTGTTTCTGCTCTCCTCTAGTCTTTTTCTAATGGAGGATACTGTTACCCATAGTTCTCTAGTAGGCATGAGAGGCCAAACACATGTTTTGGGGTGTAACACGACTCAATTGTGTTCTGTAAGCAGATGTGGGAAAAGTTCACCTCTGTGGAATGTTGCTAAACAATGTGCTTTTGAAGAAGAAGAGAGACTTATGTTATATATATATATATATATATATATATATATATATATATATATGAATAATATTTTAAGTCAGCTGCTTACTTTCTCAATGCATGTTCCTGATCATATTATACACAAACCATGCATGTCATTGTGAAGACTTTTCACCATTCGATCAATTGCTGATTGATAATATCAAGTCCCACACTACATTTTTTTAATTGCACTGAAAACATTTTGTGTAGAAACAGTTTTCACTCAGAAATTGCTAGTAAAATTAAAAAACAAAGTAACAAATTAAACATGAAATTTTAAAAGTAGAAATTTTTTTTCATTAAGTGGTCAAATTATATGGATTTGTGAATGCCTGATTCTAATGTCAATATCTAAAAAACAAGGTGAATGATAGTTTATTTGCAAAATTCCTAAAATTAAATAAATATCTGTTGCATGCTTTTTCTCTGAATTCACCAAGAATTTGGATCATTATTGTCTTGTGTATGTTCCCGTTTAGTTCCTGTTGTCCTTATTTGGTCCTTCCAGTTCCTTTTCACATTATTAGTATCACCTGTTCCTTGTTATTAGTTATCCCCATCACCTGTCTGCCCCTCGTTATCTGCCCTATTTAGTTCTAGCCCGTTCTGTTCTCCCTTGTCTGGAATTGTTTGTCAACTCCTTGTGCTACGTGTGATTCCCTGAAAAAAAGAATTAAACTCCTCTGTTTTGTACTTCTGGTCTCCTCGTTCCGTGCTCCTTACAGTAGCAACCCGTGACAATTATATGTTGATAGTGTTGTTTTAGAAATGACCCAAGGAATAGCTAATGCTTGATGAAACATACACACACACAGACACACACATATATATATATGCATCCCTAATATATATATATATATATATAGCAAATGGCTGCAATATAACAAAGAGTGAAAAATTTAAGGGGGTCTGAATACTTTCCGTACCCACTGTATGTATATATATATATATATATGTGAAGGGACATGTGCCCAAGTATGGTGACCCATACTAGAAATTAGTGTTCTGCATTTATCCCATCCAAAATGCACACACACACCGTGAACACACACCCGGAGCAGTGGGCAGCCATTTATGCTGCGGTGCCCGGGGAGCAGTTGGGGGTTCGGTGCCTTGTTCAAGGGCACCTCAGTCATGGTATTGAAGGTGGAAGAGAGCGCTGTACATTCACTCCCCCCACCTACAATCCCTGCCGGTACGAGACTCGAACCCACAACCTTTGGGTTACGAGTCCGACTCTGTAACCATTAGGCCACGACTTCCCCCTTATATATATACATATATTCAGTGTATGTTTGTGAATTAAACTGCAATATTGCATAAAACATTTACGAATAAAGCACTGTTTTCGTCCCATGTGTTCAAGAGAACGAAATCTTCATTTCCTGCAAAACTGCTGCAAATAAGTAATAAAATAAT